GCCATGTCAGCAAAAGTCAATGTTAAGTTGACCACCGTTTGGTCAACCATTATCTTTAACGGTCAACGAAATTGTCAGGATACAAATGACATAAAGTATAATAGTTCAGGACATAGATGGAATATTGGAAACAATAGGACACAAGTGGCATTTTTTGGATAGTTCGGGTGTAGTAGTGGTATTAGCCCAATTATGAATGTAAATATCCATACCCTACCCAAAACTAAGGGTGGGCACGTGGGTGGTAATCCGCGGAGTGATATCGATCTACCCGCAAATAATCTGACCCGCACGCAGTGGGTGATTGATGTGGGTGGATTGCGGATTGATAAATCTCCCACCCGCACTTATGTGGGTGGGGTGGTGGGTGGATTGCGGGTCACCCGTATGACCCGCATCCTATTTTTACATGAAAAAATGTCGTTTCTTATAGTATCGAATATTCGTCATATTTTCGAACTTCATAATAGTCTGACCATATACTTCAAAGGTAGAGAATAAAGAATAGTTTCGACTACTATTATTGGTTATTGTGTTGTGCAATATTCATTAGAGATTGGATATTGGTATGCAAATTATTGTTAATATCCATTAAATATTGGGATGCAAATTATAAATTATTAATTGTATTCAAAACCACAAATTATTGATACAATCTTACTAATTTGCTATGAAGTTATTATAAATGTTAGTCAACTTTCTTAATAGCTAGTTGGAGAATTGCTTTTGCGGGTTGACCCGCGACCCAACCGCACCCATCCGCCACCCACCCAACCCAACCCTCAAAGTATGTAGGTGGATTGCGGGTCACAGCTATGCCAACTCACTAGTAAGCAATTGGGTCAATTTGAGACCAAAATCCACCCAACCCGCCCATTGTCCACCCCTACCCAAACCCATCTACAAACTTTCAAACCCATATATACGCCACCCATACCTACCCATACTCAATGGGTCGACTAGGGTTTAGGTAAATATCATTTATTAGCAAAAAATTTCAAGATTTTTTAAATTGGATGTTGACCGCCATATATATTTTCTCAGTCAATATTACTAACAAAAGTGCTAATGAAAAATTAATTTTAGCTAATAATATTAAAAAATACCATAACGGGCCACATAATACGTTCCCATAGGCCATCTCCGCCCCGCGACAAGGCGCGGCATCGACACCTAGTAAATATTAGATGACAAGTTCTTTACGGATGTTTTTCCTTATAGGGTTTGGTCTATTGGAAGACTATACGTATTTGTTTAGTTGGAGTAATAGAAGAGATGGTACCAAAGTGGTACCAAAGTCCAAATTCGATGAACTAAGCTCATTACTTACGCAAAGTTTATCGCCGATAAAACAACATTGTTGTCATAAATGACTGTTATCAACGAAATATGGCCGTTGGACGTGTTGGGAAAACGTATCGCCGATAATTTTATATTTCCAACAGGTCGTCAAACTATATGTTATTATCGAAACCACGACCTTATCGATAAACCAAAGCACGACGTCAGAAAAAGAAATTACTAATGATGAAAAATGATGGCGAATTTTTTTATTGATAACTTATGCATCTTTTTTTGACGAACTGTGGTTGTTGAGATTTCGAAGACAGCTACAAAGTTTTTTTAGATGATTCAGCTTATAAGACGAGAGGACAAATGTTGATGGAGAAGAAGAAGCATTTTTTTTTTGGACACCATGTACAACCCGCATTGCTTGGATATGCTAGAGGATATTTAGAAGAATATTAATTTACAGAAGACTAAATGTTCAAGGGTAAAGAAATCAAAATTTTAATTTAGGCGAGATCAATGTTTATTGCCATGATGAGGTAGTTCACTCAAAGGAAAGATTTGGTCAAAGTTGCAGTTACAAGTACTGCTACAACATATTTGATTTTTCGAACCCTTAGTGACAATAAGGGTTCCTTCATGAGAATGTTCTCTTGTGAAAAGTGTAGGAAGAGTAGCGTTGCTAAACTTAGGGAAGGAAAAAGAGTATAAAGTTTTTTATTTGATGGTAGTTTTTGGGAAGTTGTGATAACTTGTCTTTACAGTTAATCTACCTTTAGTCTATGTCCTTCCTATAGTTGATAAAAACAAATGCCCTTCCTATAGTCTGAGTTGATCCAATCTATAGAGAAGATTAAAAACAACTTCCATACTTTGTAAAAATGGTTAATACCTTTTTTTGGCCCGTACTATGACCATATAATCAACTTTGGCCCGTGGTTTCAGAAATTAACATCCTGACATCAACTACGCAACATATATACTCAATTGGCCCTACACATGGTTTGACCGTCAATTTTGACAGTCAACACGTCATGTCATTGCCTAGTCACCCTAAAAATCATTAAGAAAATTCAAATTCAAAATATTTTTCTAATTTCTATTATTAATCATTTTCAAATTAACCAAAAAATAAAAATTTAAAATAATTTGATAATTTTTATTTAATTTATAAAATTTATCATAAAAAATTACATTATATTATTTTATATTTTGGTTAATTTGATAATGATAAATAATAGAAATTAGGAAAATAATTTGAATTTGAAATTTTTAATGATTTTTTGGTTGACGAGGCAATGACATAGCGTGTTGACTAACGGTCAAACAATGTATCAAGGCCAATTGAGTCTATATGTTGCATTGTTGAGGCCACTGAAACCAATGACCAAAGTTGATTATATGGTCGTATTTCGGGCCAAAATAAGGTATTAACCCTTGTAAAAATGGTAATTTCCAAGTAGACTACACCTATTAACTGGTGATATCTTATATTATTTTAACTTGTGAATTGTTTATGTCTTTATCTAGATACAAACTTATTTTGAAGAGCATTGGTAAATGGTGGGAATAGGCCATATCACTATGCTCCATTTTGGTTGAATTCTCAAATTCATCATTGTAAAAGATTTAACTATAATGATCCAACGGTGAAAGTATGATTGTATGAATATGTTGCTAGACCGGCAAAGGATTGTGAAGAGAACATTAAAATAATGAAACAATTGCATGTATTTCATCGTGTTCTAAGCATGTTTGATAAGTTTGCTGGAATGAACTTAAAGGATAGGCAACATCCAGTTGATCGATGGACCTCATTTGGAAATAAAGTGTCAGAGCTTCATAAATTTGTCATTCGAGTATTGAGTTTGAATTGTAGTGTTTCTGGGTGCAAGCGTAATTGGAGTGCATTTGAGAAGATAAGTAATAAATGATCTCTACTTTCATTTAAAAATATCATGCTTGTTAGTTAGAAGTTTATCTGGTTTTTTTATTCCATGTGAAATTGTTCCTTGTATATTCATACTAAGAAAACAACAATTTTCTTGCATAGAAGATGAATATTTTTTGTATGTCATGCACAACAACAAGTTGATGGGAAATGTCAAGCAAGCAAGAAGGCTGGAAATGGACATTGAATATATAGACTCCGAAAAAGTCAATGTGCTTCCTATAGTTGATAAAAAAATGCTCTTTCAATAATCTGAGTTGATCCAATCTATATAGAAGATTATGAACAACTTTCATACTGTGTAAAAATGGTAATTTCCAAGTTGACTACACCTATTAACTTGTGATATCTTATATTATTTTAACTTGTGAATTGTATATTTTTTTATCTAGACTAACTTGTTTTGAAGAGCATTGGTAAAAGGTGGGAAGATCAAATGAATAGGCCTTGTCACTATGCTGCATTTTGGTTGAATTCTCAAATTCATCATTCTAAAAGATTAAACTATAATGATCCAAATGTGAAAGTATGATTGTATAAATATGTGGCTAGACTGGCAAAGGATTGTGAAGAGAACTTTAAAAATAATCAAACAATGGGATGTATTTCATCGTGTTCAAGACATGTTTGATAAGTTTAGTGCAATGACTTAAAGGATAGGCAACATCCAGTTGATCGATGTCAGAGCTTCATAAATTTGTCATTCGAGTATTGAGTTTGATTTGTAGTGCTTCTATGTGCAAGCGTAATTGGAGTGCATGTGAGAGGGTAAGTAATAAATGACATCTACTTTCATTTAAATATATCATGCTTGTTGGTTAGAAGTTTATCTTGTCTTTTTATTCCATGTGAATTTTTCCTTATAAATTCATATTAAGAAAAACAACAATTTTCTTGCACAGAAGATGAATATTTTGTGTATGTCATGTACAATAACAAGTTGATGGGAAATGTCAAGCAAGAAGGCCGGAAATTGATTTTGAATATATAGACTCCAAAAATGAATGCATTTAAGGTAGGGATGTTGGTTCGATTCGGGTCAGGTTAGGTAACCCAAACCCAAAAATTGATGAACCCGAAACCAGAAAACCAGCTTAGCTTAAACCTGAACCCGTTAAGAAAAATTTCAATTTTCGGATACCCGAAACCCAACAATCTCCTTAACGGGCTCGGGTAGAACAACCCGAAATCCGAATGGCACAATCAGACTTTAGCTTTTCGGTTTCCTAATTCTATTTCACTTTCCCTTTAGTTGTCCAAATTTTTTTTTAATGGGCTGCTTTTGATTCTTTAACCTAAAGTGTAATCTGTAGTGTGGACGTGTGGTTCGATTTTTTTTTTATGCTAATTAAAGAATTGGAGGCAAATATATTTGATGCTAATTCTATTTTTAAAGTACACTTTCATAATCATATTTATTTTTAGAGGGATATACATTTGCTTGTAATTAAAGTTTTCGAGGCAAATACATTTGCTTCTAAACGATTTTATGGAGACATATATATCTGTCTCTAATAAGTATATTTGGATGCAATTAATTTTATGGACTATTTTATATTTGTACACGTTATTTGTACTTGAGATCTCAATGGATCACTACCAAGATTTTAATTGTTGATTGAATTTATTAGTATATTATATAAATAAGAATGATCGAAAAATAACTATAAATTGTACAAATAAATATAAATATTATTCATATGTTTCGCAGAATACATTATAAGCACAAAGTAAAATACATTTGTAATACATACATACTCCGCAAACAAAACAGTAGGTAATAACTAGAATATTTCGTTGACTATTCTGGACAAAAGATGCATTGCCGTTGAGTTGTACAGTGTATCAAGATCGATCTCTATATCCATCCATTTATTCACCGCTTCACAGTTGGCATCAACGTCAACTCTTTCAATCGTCTTCCCTTGACCTAAGCACCTCCACAAGCCCTCATAGTCACGCCTAATCAAGAACAAAATTGAGATAGTAATTAAACAAATAATATACAGTAAATAATATATTAAACTACACACAGAAAAGTCAATACTCTTTCACAAAAAAAAAAAATCACTACTCTAGAGAAGTAAGGAACAAAAGATAGTCCTGTAAAAAAAAAAGGAACAAAAGATAGACATACCTTTTATAGGGAGTGGATCATATATGTCTTCACTACCCCTTCGTATATACAACAACAAACAGATCTAATTATAAGTTATAACTCTAAGAGGATGAGAACACAGAAGCGGCAACAGTGTAGTTCTTCAGGCAAGAAGAAGACAAGCGACGGCGCTTTGTGTGGAATAGAAGCCGATGTACGATTGTGATTATGGAAAAGAGGTTGCTACTCATGTCGAAGAAAGAAAACAGGAGGTGGCGTTGCATCGACGATAAAACTAAAGATATCAGCAAAATATGCATCTGATTTGACAATAGCAATGGTAAAACAATAAAAAAAATCAGAAAGGAAGCTCCAACGATGGAGTGTGCGTAGTAGAATAGAAGGAAGAGAAAGAATAATTCAGAAGAGGACTACAGGAAATGAGAAGGAAGATTAAAAGTCGCTAGTCGGCCAACAGAGAAATAAGATATAGTCTCTAGGGTTTTCATTTATTTGTAGATGAATGGACGATAAGGATTATAATAATGAACGATTGAGATTTGCCTTAAATTAATTAATGCCACTAATAGAGGGAGGAAAAGTTTTTGTTTTATGTGGTGTTGTTGTTGATAATAAGAACAGATAATCCTTAGTTATCCTCCTTTCCTTTTACTTCCTTTTCAAATAAATTAACATATACCAAACTTTTTTTTTTTTTTTACAAAAGATAATCATATATTGATCCAAAAGATAGATAATTACATCCTGGAAGATAGCCAGGCCAGGAAATCAAAAGAACGACTCATAGTCGGGTACAAAGAGAGGGCTTTACGAGCCACCATATGGGCTACCCTATTACTACTCCGACCTACAAACCGAACACTAAAACCAGCAATACTCTGAAAATAGTATTGAAGCTCTTCAAGCACAGCCCCGACCCTACTATCTCGAATATCCGTCTGATTGATTTTATCAATAATAACCTTGGCATCCCCTTCAAACTGCACCTCTGAAAGCCCAAGCGCCCTATACCAGTAGACAGCTTCCCGCAAGACAAGCAGTTCCACCACAAACGGGTCATCCAGGTCAGGAAAATAGACTCCTTTCACCATCCAAACATCCCTCATGTGAGTAAAGAGCACCAGGCCACCTGCCGAGTGCGCCCCTCTCCGAACCGCCCCATCCCACATACACACAACCCTGTCCCCCCCCCCCCCCCAACAGGACCTTGATGGGTCCCCCCCGAAGCCATCTCAGAATGGGGCAACATAATTGGGTTTTTATCCACTGGCAGTCGAATCCATTCCTCATACTGCTGCTGAAACTGACGCATTAAGGCCGCAAACCCAAACTGCTTTCCTTCAAATACCACCCAGTTTCGTGACCGCCATATCCGCAACCACAGCCATAAATAGAGGAGGCTGATGGATCAAAGCCAGTAACCGTTTCAGGAACAAAGGGAGAGTATGGCGAGGGAGACCCTCTCCTAAGAACGCAAGCCCCGAATAATCCCAAAGGCCCCGAGCCACCGGACAGTCCAAGAACAAGTCCTCCAGAGTTAAAGCACTCGCCCAGCAAACCGGACACCGAGGTAGCACCGGTACCTTCCTCTCAATAAGAGCCTCCGTAGTAGGCAAGATGCGATTGAAAATTTGCCAGACAAAGACCTTCAGCTTAGGAGGGATATTCGCGTCCCACAACCGAATCCAGGAAGGCTTATCCATCCACCCAACCGTGGGTCGCCACCCACCCCGTCTCCTATCAGTGGCCACCGCCAAATGATAAGCAGATTTAACTGTGAAGACACCATCCACAGTCGCGTGCCAGATTAGCCTATCCTCAACATTCCGTCTTGGCAGGGGGATATCCTGAATGGCCCTACAAGTCTCTGGGTCAAACCACCGGCGCAGCTGTTCAACATCCCAACATCCCCCACCAGGACTCATGACCACCGCCACAGGAGGATCCCCACCCTCTGGTAACACCCGAGGATTAAACCTAGGAGGATCATGCTGGAGCCGTGGGATCCAGTTAGAGTGCAGCAGGGACGCCGACTGGCCATTCCCAATTTGCCATCGCAACCCCTTCAACAACAATTGCCTACCATATAAGATACTCTGCCATCCCAAGGAAGGTCGAGAGCGAGTCGAAGCCTCAAGAAAAGACCCATTAGGGAAATATTTGCCTTTATAGACCTGAGCCAACAGGGATTGGGGGTCCATGAGGATACGCCACCCAATCTTCGCCAGCAATGCCTGATTAAACTGCTCGAACCTTCGGAACCCCAACCCACCCTCGTGCTTACTGCGGCACAAATTCCTCCAGGAGACCCATCTAATCCGGAAGTGATCTTCCTCATCACCCCACCAAAATCAGGCCAAGTGCCTATCCAAGAGTCGACAGAGGGATAGAGGGAGTTTAAAACAAGACATCACATGCAGTGGTAATGCCAAAGCAACAGACTTAATCAATGTTTCTTTAGCGGCCCACGACAAGGTCCTCCGCTTCCACCCTTGCAGCCGTTCTAACAGCTTCTCCTCCAAATACCGGAACGTGGCCACCTTGGACCGACTAATAAGCGTTGGCAGCCCCAAGTACTTATCTTGGACCCCAACGGCACCCACCCCCAACACTGCCGCCAAGAACTCCTGATCCTCACGGAGAATATTCTTACTAAAACAGACGGCAGATTTATCCAAGTTCACCCGTTGACCACTCAATTCCTCATACTCATTCAGGACCTCAATCAGATTTTCACACTCCTGAAGAGTACCCCGCAAGAACAAATAAGAATCATCCGCAAAAAAAAGATGTGAGATCCGGGGCGCACGAGGAGCAACCTTAACCCCCTCCAGTCGCTTCTCCATAATAGCCTTCCGAAGAAGCGCTGCAAAGCCCTCCGTACAGAGCACAAATAGAAGAGGGGAAAGCGGATCCCCTTGGCGAAGCCCTCTGGACGGAGTGAACTAGCCTGAAGGAGTCCCATTCATAAGCACCGAAAAGGATGAGGATTGGAGGCATTCCCGAATCCACCCTTGCCAGGTAGAGTTAAAGCCCATTTTATCCAAAACCGCAAGGAGAAAGGGCCATTCGACTCTATCATAGGCCTTTTCCATGTCAACCTTTAGAGCCATGTACCCTTTCTTACCCCGCGTTTTGATCTTCAGATAGTGCATTAACTCATGCCCCAGCAGGATATTTTCAACGATCTGGCGCTCCCTGATGAAAGCATTTTGGCCTTCTGATATAATATTAGGCAATAGGGCAGCTAGACGCTCTGCCAAGATTTTAGTAATAATTTTGTAAACGAACTGGCAAATGCTGATTGGACGTAGCTGCCTCATCAACTCCACATTGTCCACTTTGGGTATAGGGTGAGCCACGTGTGGTTGAAACTCCGAAGCATCCGACTGGTAGCAAAGAAAGAGCACACTGCTGCCGTGACCGAATCCCCCACAATATCCCAGAACGCCTTAAAAAACTTCCCCGTAAACTCATCAGAGCCAGGAGCCTGCTTTGAACCCATACCAAACACCGTTTTATGCACCTCAGAAGGAAGAACTGTGGCCGTGAGGCCGGCATTCATCTCTGGGGTAATACTCCGAGCAATGGGCAAAGACGCCACACGCCCAGCCATATCCTCCACCTGGTTTTCCGAGGTGAACAGGTGCTGATAAAATGAAGTAGCAATACCCGCCTTACCAGCCTCCTCAGTGATCCACTCACCATTCTCATTACGAAGACCAGCCACAAAATTCCTTTTACGCCGAGCCCTAGTCACTGTGTGAAAATAGGACGTATTCTTATCCCCTTTTTTCAGCCAGTGAACCCTGGACTTTTGCTGCCAATAAACCTCCTCAGCCTCCCATTGCCGGTTCAACTCAACCTCCAGCCCCCGGACCATATCCCAGTCAATCGGATGAGCCGATTTAACTCTATCAATCTCGCTCTGAAGAGTACGGATATTCCGCAGGGAATTAGTTGTACCCGCTCTACTCCAATCATACAGGAGGTGGCGAAGCCTCTTTAGCCGTTCCCAAAGACAGAACATAGTAGTTCCTTGGACGTCCTCACTCCAGACATAGGTAACCATAGCCCTGACCTCCGGGTTGTCCGCCCAGCGGGCATCAAACCGGAACAGGGGTCGGCTATTGCGCACATAAGGCTTATCCGAGAGGAGAAGAGCTCTATGGTCCGATCCTTGGTCCGTAAAATGCTTCACCAAAGTTTCAGGGAAGCGATCAATCCAAGGTTGGGAGCAGAGGGCTCTATCCAACCTTTCTCGAATACAAGCACTACCCATTCTCCTATTCGACTAAGTGAACAGGTCACCCTGGTACCCAGGATCATGGAGCCCCAAACCGTTAATAAAATCTCGCAAGCTGCTAGAGTTATTGACATTCCAGGGGTTACCCCCATCCTTTTCACTCGCACTCAGGATTGTATTAAAATCGCCAATAACCACATAAGGAAGATCGAAAGCAGCGCAGAGTTCCTGAAGGTGCGCCAATTGGGCGGCTCGAGCGGGAACAGAGCAACTAACATAAACACAAACCACAATATAAGAAAAATCCACTTCATTAATCTTGGAACAGATACAGAAGTTCGTAGAATAAAAGACAGAAACATTAACATCTGGCGACCAAGCAAACACTAGTCCCCCCGACGCATCAACAGCATCAACAAAAAAACACCGATTAAAATCAAAGCCTAAACCCCGCATACGACGGGAAACAACACGCCGGCTAGAACGCGTTTCCGAAAAGAACACGAGCTCCGGCCTGTTGGAATGGACCAACCCCGCTGCCGTTTGGAATGTAAGAGATGGCCCTATGCCTCTCACATTCCAGGCAAGAAGCCTCATTTATCACTTTGGGGCCACTCCAGGCTGGCTTCCTCCACCTTCTCAATATCATCAGTAATCTCCACGAATTGTTTCTTGGGGGTTGGCGGGACACCTACCTCCCCCTCCACGACCTCCAAGGGCCTTTTCAGAATTCCCGGGGTAAGCAAATTGGATCCATATTCATCAAGTTCTTCTGCAGCCACCCCGACGAGGCCAGTATTCCCCGTATCAGGCATAGGGCCTAGGCCGTCATCCACGACCTGTTCCACCACCTTATCCGCAAAGGTCAACCCTGCCTCGAAAGCTGCCACCACTTGACTAACCCGGCCCTTAGATATAGTCTGGGGTACAGCCGGTGGGATTCTTTTCTCGATCACAAAGCACTGGGTTTCATCCCCCGACAGTGACCCCTCCGAGTCCCCATCCATTAAAAGGGCCGACTCCTTGCTCGCCTTCGTGCTGCAGGGTTGAACATGGGCTCCCACCATCTTTGGCTCGCATGTGGGCTCCTCCCCTTGCAAAACTGCATTAGACACAGGCCCAGTTTCTTTCTTCTCCTCCCCCGCAGGAACATGGGCCTTCCTCAACTTCCTCTTGCCTCTCGCGGGCCCAGGCGGATTCAGGCCCAAAGCGTCTGTTGCTTTTGTAATAGGCACAGCTCCCTCATCCACCGAGCCCACCATTGGCGCCTTCCCCTTCCTGAGCTTCCTCTTCGCCAAGGTGTCTTCCCCCGCCGCCAACGAGGAAGCGGCAGCAGCACTACCCACCGATGGAACCTCCCGGTTAGGTAGAGGCTCAGTAACAGCCGATAACGGGGGTGCCCCCGCCCTCGCCTCATCTGCCCGGGGAGCCGCACGCTCACCTGCCTGGACCGGGGGGTGGGTTTTTGGGCGGCGAGGCTTCCTTTTCGAAGGAGTGCCGCCATCCGTACCCGTAAGAACAGGGCCTTTCCCAGCGCCGGCACCCGTAACCTTGGGAACAGGACCCTTCCCAGGATTCAGCGAGCTCCCATCCATCGTACGAATTTGCACATTCTCCGCCGACGCATAGGTGGCATCCACCATGTCATCATCCGAATCTTTCTCGAGGATCAGTCGACGTCGTCGTGTTGCTGCATGAACCAATTCATCATGGTCACCGCCCAGATCCTGAACCGAGTCCGCATCCATGGGAACCGGCTTCCCGGAGGCCATTAGCAGACCTCCCCTTCTTCTTCTCCCGCTGCGTTTTCCGAGGGCCCCCTAGTCCGAGCTTCGGATGGCGATTGAGGACAATCCCACCCGAACTTCCGCGCCGAGCAGGCGATCGTCCAATTCTCTTCCCATGGTGAGAGCTCGGGTCCTCCTGGGAAACAGACCCCAAGGAGGCATTCGAAGGAGTCGGGTGACCCGTCCTCGCCGGGGGCTGGTTGCGACCCCGATGCCCTGAGCTCGACTCGCCTCTTCCCGTCACCAAATTGTTTCGATTTTGTTGATTAATCCAAACCGAGCGCCGGGAGCCCCCGAGGGGGATATCAGCACCGTCATCGTCATAAAGTTTCCGGCCCAATTTTTTTGTAATCATATGGGGGCCGTATCGTTCCTTCCTTTTCGGTGGTTCAAACTCACAATCGCGCCGGGCGTGGCCAACACGGCCACATCGGAAGCAAAAACTTGGAAGAAATTCGTACTGGAGGCTCACCCAGAAGCCATCAACATCATCACTAACCGCCATCAGCTGCGATCGAAGAGGCTTGGAGAAGTCGATGATAGTATTGACTTTTATAAATCGATTGCCTGATTCCTTGCACACAAAAATGCCCGACTCCAGCACCGGTCCAATCGCAGCAGCAACCATCTTTTGACCAAACAACTTGGTACAACAATCCTCCATAACTCCCCATAGCTGGACACGAAACGGCGCTTTTGACATCTCCTCAAAGATGCCTTTTGAGATAACTGGAGTCCATGCTCGAAGAACTAATAATTGATCTTTGATAATCCATGGGTTGCGGGATAGAGCCCACTTCTTAGCTTCCTCATTAGGTAGGACGATCTCAAAGAGCCCCTGCTTGGTTTTCAGGACTTTCAATTGGCCCCGGATCTTCCAGGCATCCAGTAGCTCATTGCGTGCCTCCAACGTACTGATCTGGTCGTTTGTGAACAGTCGACCCAGGAGCGAGCGGGACGCGCGAAAACGAGTTGATTGCACCTCTTCTAGGGAGAATTGGATCACTTGGTCATCCGCTACATGAGCCATAGTGCACAACTCCTGGGAACAGGAAACGGCAGATGCATTAAAAACCGGCCAAACACACCCTAGCGCCTCGACCGTCGAGGAGATCGAACGGGGGAGCATCACAGGTAAAAATTCAACCGGCACAATGATAAAGGAGAGAGTAGGCGACAGGGCCCAGAGGCACTGCGGCCAGTTACCTGAGCAGTTCTCCAAGGAAGGAAAGAAAGCCGAGAATTCGACTGCAGCAGGTGTCTCACTATTCCGAGTCTGACAAATAGTTGTGTCAAGCCGCCTCGGTGATAAGTGTTTAAATAAGGTCCCAAGACCCCCCTTAGACTCCTGGTTAGGATTAACGGGGATAGGCAGAGAGGGAAGTCTAGAAGGAATCGGATTCCCAGTCAGTTTGGGATCACGATAGATAAAATATCGAAGGAAAGGGATATTCTGGTAACAAACCCCCAATCCCGCAGAAACAGGGGGAGCAGAGTCCGAGGATCTCGTCCAGTAACCGTCAACCCCCATCCCCCAGAATTTCGGGGGTGCATCCTCCGCAGCCCTGCCGGAGAGCTCCACCGTAGACTTCCTCGCCGACGGAACCGGAGAGCGACGCCGTGGACGGGGGATTTGCAGGTTGCGAACCTCCCTCGCCTCCGCTACAAAGTCCCAAACTCCATGATCGAAAATGTCAACGGCTTTCCCCGCTGGGATACTATCATCTTTTTTAGAGTCGTCGATCACGGATAACAGCGACGAGTCGCCTACCAGATCTAACGACGATGGGAGCCAAAATCTCCATTCATAACATCGACCAATTCTGCGCTTTTGCACAGGTCTTGGATTTGATAAGGTCGAGACACTCGACGATTTAGGTTCATCACACTCCTGCGCTCGTTTACGTTTACAGAGCGCTCTTCCTGCACGAGTAGGACAACGAGTCCAGTATCGCACGTTCCCATTGCCAGCACCTCTGAGCAGAAGATCCCCAGCAGCACCGGAACGAAGCTTGGTCTGGTTCTGCAAGCTAAGCACGAAAATGGCGGAGAGGAATTTCAGCAGACAGCTACCAAGCCACCGCGGCCATTCGAGGAGAGAGGAGAGAGCTCCTCTCATCGATTTTTTTATTAGTCGATCGCAGTTAACATATACCAAACTTTATCTACGAGAGAGATGTATATTTGTCTCTGAAAAGGGATTGGAATAGTATTCACATTTTATATTTTCATAATCATAAAGCATTTATATTTCTCTCTAAAAGCATTTCATTTGTCTCTGTATAACAACACTATATGTAACATTTGTATTTGTCTCTAAAAGTTGTTAGATTTGTTTCTATATAACTTAAGTTTAGGATTCACTTATATTTGCTTCTAAAATTATTATTTTATGTAAATAAAAAATTCCTATTATGAAATAGAGACAAATAATATGAGATAGAGAGAGAAATAATACATTTGCGGCCATAAATTAGATATAGAGACTAATGCACTATTTGTTTCTAATTATTTGTCTCCAAAACCAAGTTTTCTTGTAGTGTAGGCCGACTTCACCGAGACCAACTCTTCAGCCATTCCATGCTAGATTAATCTGTCCTCAACCCCCTGACGAGGAAGAGAAATTGCTTTGATGGCGCGACAAGTTGTCGGGTCAAAGCACTTACTAAGTCTTAGATCACACCAGCGCCTCTCTCCTTGGCAAAGAACTTATGCCACCGACAGGTCTCCTCCTTCAGGAATCACCTGGTAATTATATATTGGCGGGTGGGGATGTAGACAAGGAATCCAATTGGAATAAAGCAGCGATGTTGTCTGACCATTGTCAATCTGCCATCGTAACCCCTTTACCAATAACTGTCTCGTATAGAGAATACTCTGTCATCCCACGATGGGCGAGATCTCACTTTATAAACCTGGGCTAATAGGGAATCTGGTTCGTTAAGTATGCACCAACCAATTTTGGGTAAGAGAGCCTGATTAAAATGCTCGAAGCGGCAAAACCCCATTCCTCCATTGTGCTTACTTCTGCACATATTTCTCTAGGACATCCATCGTATCCTAGATTAACCCTCCTCAACACCCCACCAGAATCTAGCCACATGTTTGTCCAAGAGGCGACAAAGGGAGAGAGGTAACTTGAAACAGGATATCACATGCAACAACAATGCTAGAGTGACTGATTTAATCAAAGTCTCATTCGTTGCCCAAGATAATGTTTGTTGCTTCCACCCCTGAAGTCGCTCCAAAAGCTTCTCCTCCAAGTACCGGAATGTAGCCATTATTTAGTGGGCTATTAGAGTAGCAACCCCCAGGTATTTGTCGTGGACTCCCACAGCCCCGACACCCACAATCTGAGGCAAGAACTCTTGGTCAGACATCGATATTTTATTAAAGCAAACTACCGATTTAGCCAAGTTGACTCTTTGACCACTAAGTTCGTCATATTCATTCAACACCTTGATCAAATTTTCATATTCCCGAAGAGATCCTCGGAGGAATAAATAAGAGTCATCCGTAAAAAAAGAAAAAAACAAATGAAATATTCGGGGAGCTCTAGGGGCAACTTTTACCCCCTCCATTTTTTATTAAGAAATAGCTTTACGGAGGAGCGCCGCAAATCTCTCCATGCAAATCATGAACGGCAGCGGAGATAGCGGATACCCCTGCCGAAGACCCCTTGAGGGTGTGAAGAATCGTTAAGGCGAACCATTCATATGAACCAAAAACGATGTGGAGCATAGGCATTCCTGTATCCATCCTCTCCGTGTAGAGTTAAATCCCATCTTATCCAAAACAGCAAAGAGAAATGACCATTCGACTCTATCATATGCCTTTTCCATGTCAACCTTTAGAGTCATGTACCTTTTCTTCCCTCACGTTTTAATTTTCAAGTAATGCATTAACTCATGTACTAGGAGAACATTCTCCACTATATGTCATTCACTGATGAATGTGTTTTGACCCTCCGAAATGATTTGCAGTAAAAAAACAAGCCAACCTTTCAGCCATGATCTTCGTTATATTCTTATAAATAAATTGGTATAGGCTGATTGCTTTGATTTGCTTCTTGGTCTCCACATTGGCCACCTTAAGGATCAGTGTCAACCACGTATGATTAAAGCTACGGAACATCCTGCTCCTAGTGAAGAACGAACAGTCAGCTTCAATCATAGAATCGTCGACAATACCCTCAAAAAGCTTTAAAAAAACTTTCCCGTGAAGCCATCAGACTTGGGAGCTTGTTTCGATCCCATGGAGAAGACCGTTTGCCGAACTTGACGAGGAAGGACTTCAGGCATAAGACTAGCTTTCATTTCAGCAGTAACACGATGGGCTATGGGAAATTCAGCCACTCGCTTCGCCATTCTTTTAGACTAATATCAATAACATAATCATTGAAACTAAATGGTTCATGACATGTGCAACTTATAATCCAAACTCACCGGCATACACATAATCAAACTACAATGTATAGAATTGATATTTGACATTGGTTAATATGATGGTTGGTTTTAGTTGTAATGACTAATTGGTTTATGATATCATACCATCGTGATGGTAGGACGGTGATAGACGGTGATATTATTGTTTCAACTTTTATGTAAAAATATATATATAAAAAGTGGATATTCTTTAGTAGATCATAATGAGTTCATTTTATATTTCAAAATTTCTTAAACTCCGAATTAAAATGAAGAACATACAAGTCAATTAAGAAATATAGAAAATTAAACAATATATTGAATCTCAACTATCATATATCCCCACTTAAATTTATGTTATAATATCACTGTCATATCATAGTGGTATCATGTTGGTATGACAGTGGTAAGATAGTAATAAGTGGTATCTTCGACAAAAAAAAATTGATGTCGCAATATCACTGTCATATCATAGTATTATTATGATAGTGTTTCTATCTTACGATAGCGATAAGATCGTGATATAGTGATAATATTAAACAAACATGTATAACTGAATGACTATATTTCTCTTTCAAAATATAGCAAAATCAACATCATTGTGTAGATCATATTTAATGTGCTATTACCATACAATTTTTTTAATTTCAAGTTTAAACGAATTATATTTGCTATCATACTACTATCATATCAACATGATATGACAGTGATAAAATTACAACCAAAACATATTTGAAATGCCTATTATTTCTTAAAATATATCACGATGAATATCATTAGATACATCATAATTAATACATTCTTTCCATGCAGATTTAAAATTTCAACTTAAAATGAAGGAGATATGACATGGTTAAAAAAATGAGAAATTGAATAAAGTAAATTTTAACAAATCAAAAGTATCCTCTCTCTCTCTTCTAAATTTTGTGACAATCAAAGCAAAATAAAAAAAATAGAGGGGCACAAAAATTATCAGTCTGCCCTCCTTATCATTATATGAGTTGTGGGCTATTAAATAAGAATTTTTTTTACAAAGGTTAGTTTCATTATGAAGTAAAACTAACAAGGTGTGCAGAGTTGAGCAACAAAGCCCAAAGAAATTAAAACTAATCATGTACTAGACAACCAAAGTAGGCTTCAACAATCCAAACGAAAAGGCCCATAGACAGGTCCAAACATTAGGACATTCCAAAGCCCAAAATAGAAACCCTAGCCACGGATCAAAGAAGCCAGATGGAGGCAGCCGTGAAGCATCCTCCTAGGAGCAACCCACTGCAAGCGAACCTTTGGTCATCAGAGGAAACCTCCCTAGGGAAAACCAGACACCAGACGCGGACAAGCATCAACGCCGACCAAAGATGATGAAATAGGAAAGCGAAAAGAGAAAGCTTCCTCCGGCAGAAGATGTCTCTGGCAGAGACTGGCTGGGGAGAACTAAAATTAGAACCACTCCAAGATTCACTAAGCTGCAACCGAAGCACTCTCACGGACAGAAAAGTGACGGACATTTGAAGGAAAGAGAGACCTGCAACAGAACATGAAGCAGAGGAGCAACCCCAATAGCAGACAGAGTGTAGCGAAAGGCATCTGAAAGAGCCTAACCAATCTGAGCAAGACGAAGAAACCAACAGAAAAGGCGACTTCCCTGCCCTAAACTCCACATATCTATATCCAAGGCAAACATGCCCTTGCATCTCCGGGACACCCGCATTTTTAGGTGAAACATGTGGAGGTAGATATCTGAAATGAATAGAAGAGAGCCTCCCGAAAACACGGATCCCTCAAACACCCACCGGGAGAGAACCAACACAAATTTAAAAAATACCATAAAGGTGGTGAACAAAATCCATCTCCGAACGAGAGGAAGAGGCAGAAACCATCCCGATTGGGAGGTTTATGGCAAGATCCACAAGGGATTGGAGAAAGGAGAATGCAGAATGCAGAAATGAAAAAAACCAAAAGACAAAGAAAATGGGTTGTCGCCAATCACCCGAAGATGGACCGGCAACACCCCCCAGAAACTTTCAAATTAAAGGTGCAAACAAAACAAAGAAAAGTAAAGTTAGAGAGAGGAAATATTTTGCCGAATGAGTTCGATCAATCTTATGATTTTGTACCATATATGCTACCATATATTATTAAGGGTTTTTTTTATTATAGCATAATAATTTTATTTATTTTTTTACCAAAAAAATAATTTTATTTATTATTATTATATGAAATATATTTTTTGAAAGTTGGCAAAAAATTAAAATCCATGCTGCAGATTTTTAGGAACAAATTAAATGGATTACAAAATTACTCTAATTACAAAATTGGCAAATTAATCAAAATGATTAACTCTATTACCAAATTACCTCTTATATATTACTTGTTTTCTTTTGTCTGAGACAAGTAGCTCACAATATAATACAAAAGAACTAACAAAGCTTGAGAGAAATATTGATAGAGTTAGTTTTAATATCATAGAGAGGAGTTAAAGTAAATGGCGAAGGTTGTACTAGTTGTGCTGTTATCCGTCCTGCTATTCAACTTAGCTGCGGCAAGGAAAGGTAATTAAGGTTCTCACGATAATATCCGCACAAATTCATCTCAATGATGTATCTATTCGGCATATCAGGAGCGTAATATAAAATTACATTTATTTTTATTTTAATTTGATTTTTTTATAAAAAACACACTAATGAAAATCAACATAATGATATTTGTTAGGTTGTATTTTGAGAAAAATATGTGGTCATTTTGCGAGTTGTAAGTGATACTTACGGTCAGTTTGTTTGGTTGAATAAATAATTTACAGTGGAGGGTGTAAAATGGTGTAAAACCACAGACACATTCGTTGGAGGATGCGGGCCAGAACAATGCATTTTGGATTTTTCAGAGAAGTATGGGAATGTGGATGCTGAAAATTGCATATGCAACAGCACAGCTTCTGGGTCACACCATACCTGTTCCTGTCAAGTTATCTGTGGCTCAATCCACAAAGGCCATCAAATTAACTGATTCAATGTATAACAAAATTCCATTCAATGTAACAATTTGTTAAGAAATAAAATCAAGTTGATTTCGATACCTTGTCTCTTCACCCTGTCAATATGATTCGATATATGTTGTCAAACTTATATACATGCATGTTATTTCCTTAACCCAGGCGTGAATTCGATTCTTTTTGAGAAAATTACACTTTGGGAAAATTAGTAATTAGGGGCGTACATAGGTGAGGGAGAAGTTTGTCAAGCAACACACTTCTGTTCGCATGAAAAATTTGTGTTTTGTCATTATAAAATTTTGAAATTAAGATCTATGACATGTTTATTGTAACCGTGAACTGTTTCTTTGTATACATGGATCGAGTTTATTTTGATATGCAAAATTATATTCATTTTCGATATATTTTGAAAGAAATATCATCTATTAGCACTCGTTACCATCCTACCATTTTCATTTGTAGCTTAAATTAAAAAAAAACTGCATAGAAGGAACAGGTACATCGTGCTCTATAGTGATGTATAAATTTGTGAAAAATACCACCCTATATCACTCTGGTACATGTTGATAACTAGTGGTGGGCAGTGGAGAAGGGTGGTAAATGGTGGTTAGCATATTTCTACTATAATGTATGCAATCATTTTACGGAATAGGTTCACTACGGGAAAATAGACCTCTTGCAACACCCACATTGCAACACTAATCGAAAGTGTTACGTTAGGTATGTATTAGCAACTCTCTTTTTTGGAGTTGCGTATTAGGTAGTATACACAACCCAAATTAGTTATGAGTTTCATATTCTCTATTATATGCAACACAAAAGAAAATCATTCGTGGTAAATCTTTTTTGGACATACGTGACAGTAAACTTCGTCACAAATAGTTACTTTAGTGACAACCAACTCGACCCTAAATCTTACCTTGAATTTCAAAATATGTATTTGTGACATAATTATGGTCACACATGTAACTATTTGTGACAAATGGACATGTCACAAAGGTAGTTTTCGTGACCTTGTCACAAAAAGAATTTTTATTGACGATAATATTGTCACGCAAGTTTTTATTCCGTTACTAAAAATGTTGTCACAATTGAGTTAGTTAATCTCAATATCGTATTCGTTTAGAAGAGAAACAAAAATTGCGTTTTCATTATGGTCTTGTAGAACGACAATTACTTAAATACGCTCGTATCGACGCAAAAGCTAAAGGGTCAACAGGTCAAGTTTTACTACAATTACTTGAAATGCGTTTGGATAACATCCTTTTTCGATTGGGTATGGCGGCAAACCATTCCTCGAGCTCGCCAATTAGTTAACCATAGGCATGTTTTAGCTAATGGTTGTATAGTAGATATACCAAGTTATCGCTGCAAACCCCGAGATATTATTACAACGAGGGACGAACAAAAATCTTCGTGACGACTTAGCCCCGTCACATATACAAATTTTATTGTTGCCGAAAGTTAAAGAACTTGTTGCCCATTTTACAACAAAGGGTTGCAAAAGTTGTGAAATGTGTTGCCTAAAGTAGTGTTGCGTAAGAGGTAAGGATACGCAACCCTTTATATTTGGGTTGCGAAAAATGAAAAAACAGTTGTCTATTCCTTTTGCAACCCCCACTATATGCAAGCCTACCAAAAGTGTTGCGATAAGATTTCACAACCCTTTTAAGACATAATGCAACACATTTGGGGGAGTTGCAAAAGGCCATTTTTTCCATAATGCGTTAGCGTGGTTACTCAATTTTGAGTAATCATGGTGGCTATCTAAATCTACACCCTTAATTATCTTTATTTTACCTTATTTTTAAATTGACGATGAAGATTAGATTAAGGGTAATTTTGGCAATGAAAAAATAACACACATGGTTACTCTCTATATTATACCTAAACCCTACCGCAACCATCTTCCTAGCCGCCATCTCTCCTCCTCCCTGACTCCCTCTCTCTGCCCCACCCCACAACCCCCGCTGCCTACCACCGTCGTCCCTTTCCCTACCATCCCTCCTCCCTCCCTCCGCAACGAGCGCGACATTGACATCCTCACCTGCGCGTGCGACTTCAAAGTTCTGTCGGGACTGCTACATCAAGCTGGATGAGGTCGCCGTCGACAATAATTCTCACCCACTTCCACTCCCTCCACCTGGCACCATGTCTAAGATGCATCGCACGCCTCTTCCTCCATGAAATCCACCATGTGTAAGATGGAGCGCCACCTCTCTCTCATGAAATCCACTAAGGGGTCAGCTTGGTTTAGGGTCCATCTGCCACCATTCTCTTCCAATATAGGCAATGGTATTTATTGATTTCTGAAATGGTATTTATTGATTTCACAATATTAGTTGTATTGGTTTATTTTGGTATTGATTTCTAAATGGTATTTATGGATTTGCTTTGGTAGCTAACTTGCATTTTATTTTGGTACTGTTTGCATTATGCTTTGGTAGTGTTTGCATTATGCTTTGGTGGTTACCTGCATTTTCTTTGGTAGTGTGTGCATTACGCTTTGGTAGTTACTTGCATTTGTGTTGGTTAGATGGAGCATTATGTTTTGGTAGTTATCTGCATTTGGTTTGGTAGTGTTTGCATTATGCTTTCGTAGTTTCTCTGTATTTGTTTTGTACTTCAAAGTTCTGTCGGGACTGCTACATCAAGCTTGATGAGGTCGCCGTCGACAATAATTCTCACCCGCTTCCACTCCCTCCACCTGGCACCATGTCTAAGATGCATCGCACGTCTCTTCCTCCATGAAATCCACCATGTGTAAGATGGAGCGCCACCTCTCTCTCATGAAGTCCACTAAGGGGTCAGCTTGATTTAGGGTCCATCCGCCACCATTCTCTTCCAATATATGTAATGGTATTTATTGATTTCACAATATTAGTTGTATTGGTTTATTTTGGTATTGATTTCTAAATGGTATTTATGGATTTGCTTTGGTAGCTACCTTGAATTTTATTTTGGTTCTGTTTGCATTATGCTTTGGTAGTGTTTGCATTATTGGTTGCCTGCATTTTCTTTGGTAGTGTGTGCATTACGCTTTGGTAGTTACTTGCATTTGTGTTGGTTAGATGGAGCATTATGTTTTGGTAGTTATCTGCATTTGGTTTGGTAGTGTTTGCATTATGCTTTCGTAGTTTCTCTGTATTTGTTTTGGTAGTGTTTGTATTGATTTATTTATGCAATGGTATTGTTTTGATTCCACCGTAGTAGTGGTATTGGTTGTTTTGGTATTTGTTTGACTTTTTTAATGGTATAGATTGTTTATATTGGTAGTTTCGTGTAATGGTATAGATTTATTTCTGCAATGGTATTGATGTTTTTCAAAATGGTAGTGGTTGTCTAATGGATTGGTAGTGATTTCGTGTTTTTTCTTTTGCAAAAAGATTGAGAAAAATATGGAAAGAAGATCTGGGTGGAGATTACAGAAGTGAGAGAAAGAGAAATAATTGTAATTAATAGTTTTTTGTAACTACCTAAAATGTAATTTTTTAATTATTAATTAATATAATTTATTTTTCTATACCCAATTTATCCTTAGTAACCACGGTGATTACTACAAAAGTAATCACCGTAACCTCTCCCTTCATTTTACATTGTGGTATATTCATACCAGCGTAATATAATTTCATGTACTACCAAGCATTGCCACCATGGTATAGACTGATAATATAGGTATCACTTTATTTTGTTTCAAAATACATCAAACTTCATGTCAAGATCATTACTAATTTGATTTTTTCTGTATAAATAAAATTGAATTCTAAATTAAAATAAATAAGATATCTCGTTAAATTAAATTGGAAAATTAATTATATGTTACTGAGCTCCGAATGCAATGTTGTTCTTGTTATATTATTAGCTAAATCTGAAATATTTATCAATTTCAATTTTATTTTCAAATTGGTTCCTTTCCAATTATTAAAAGCATTTATATATTTATCTATTATTATTTTCCAACTTCTCCAAAAATATTTACTAGAAGACTGTGAGGCCATTGCCAATATACTCAGGTTCAGGTCATTAGGGGTTAAGGAAAAGTACTTGGAATTCTTGTCGGTGGTGGCACATTCTAAGGCGGAGACCTTCAGATATTTGGAAGAAAGGTTGCTTCTGAAGTTGAAGGGTTGGAAGCGAAGGGACTTATCCTCAGGGATGAAAGAAACTTTACTTAAAGCGGTAGCATCGGCACTACCGGTTCATGCTATGTGTTGTTTTAAGCTCGCTGCTACTTTATGTCGGAGATTGGATAAGTTACATTACTCCTACTCCTATGGAGGTTCAGTGAGAGCTCCAACTATGACTAAAGCTACATTGCAGAGAAAAGGATAAAGTTTGATATTGGGTATCAAATGGTTGGTTGTGGAACCCTTGCTTCGTCTTCGTTCCCCCTATTTATAGCCATCACTTGTAACCGCCTCTTGGTAACCGCTACTCTATTTGGTACTTGACGTAGCTTGCTTGATCTCATGACTTTCTTGCATGCTTGCCACTTGATACCTTGCACCTTGATGACTTCACTTGATAGCTATCCCCTTGTGCCATGGAGGTGTCTAGTTTGGCTTCATCTTGATGTTTGATGCGTTGGTGATACTCGTGCTTGACCCCCCTTGCATGACATCATGCTTGACCCCCTTGTGGTTGGCTCTCATGATACCTAGTGCTTGACCCCCTTGGACGATGTCTTGCTTGACCCCCCTTGTACTGTAGTACATGGTAGGTGGTCAAGAGAGAACTCCATACTTAATCGAATCTCATCCCCACTGTGATTGTAGGCTAGGTGAGTGGTGAGATGTCACTACCACGTCTAGGGGTACTCGTGATAGGTAGACGACATAGTGCTTGACCCCACTTGCATGACATCATGATTGACCCCCCTTATGCTTGGGTCTCAAAACTTAGACAAATTTCTACTCCTTTGCCGCCACATCCTAGAGGCATTCACGTTGCCCTTGCCTAGGGGTACTGGTGATAGCTCTCCTTACACGACATCATGCTTGACACCCTAGCACAAGGTAGGTAGACGACATAGTGTTTGACCCACTTGCATGACATCGTGCTTGACCCTCCTTGGATGATGTCATGCTTGACCGCCCTTGTGCTTGGGTCTCAACACTTAGCCAAATTTCGCCTTCTTCCCTTTCCACGTCTAGAGGTAGTTGATATCTCCCTCCTTGCATGACATCATGCTTGATACCCAGTGCAAGGTAGGTTGGCGACCATGGTACTTGGTGCTTGACCCCCCTTGCATGACATCATGCTTGACCCTCCTAGGATGATGTCATGCTTGACCCTCCTGGAATGATATCATGCTTGATCCCCCCTTGAATGATGTCATGTTTGACCCCCGTTGTGATGGGTCTCCATACTTGGCCAAATTTTGCCCACATCATGCCGACTTGGATGGTTGATGTTGAAGGGTGTCAACACTTGACACTTAACCCCTCTGGGATGAGAGGTGGGTGTTTTGTGGGTCAAGTGGTGTGTGTTGAGGTACCTGGTATGAAATCCAAAATATCATCATTTAGGCCTAGTTTAAACCAATTTAATTGATATGGTTAAGTTGGCCTTATAAATCACTACCACTCTTTGAAAATAATCAATGTGGTTTTGAGTGATTTCTTAGTGGTAAACAGTAGCGATAGTACTTCTTATTTGTTGTCTCTTTGATTGAATGTTTCTATTAAGCAGTGTAATGCCTTGAAGGTTCAATGGTGTACTTCGTCCAAATTCATTGGATAATGCAAAAAATGATTCACTATATGATGGATTTGGATATCAAATTGAATCCATCGAGAAATTCATTGTTTGCTTACAACATTTTGGAAATCAAATTCGTGACATTTATAGATTTCGAGTGTTGAATCCATGAAACTCACGAACTTATAAGTCTCACATGTAGGTGTGGGATTTGAGACATGACCATAAATTCATGATGATAGTCTATTTTTATTTTCTCATTTGAAAATAAAAGTGTTTTAACTTTTAACTTTTAAGTTTATAGTAATAAGGTAATTTATAAATACAGCAATTCACAATTTACAAGTTTTGAACAAAACTCTCATTTTTCAAATCCAACAAGCAAACTATACATATGCATCAAACTGATAGTTGAAAGGACAACCCTAAAGAGCATGTGTTGTTACTGTTAGCATATGGTATATGATCCACGATTGAACCTCTCCCAACAACTCGAGTTATTGGGATCAACTGGTTCTTGACATGGTATCAGAGCCTTCTGTGACCGAGAGGTCTTGTGTTCTATTCCCGGTGACCCTCATTTGTTTCTGTTAAGCACATGGTGTCTGATGCCTGTG